GCAGGGCCTTCGCCGTCTCGCACGGACGTGGCACCGGTGCCTCCGCGACTGCACTTCCACTGAAGTGGCACGCTTGCCGAGGGAATGTTTTTGTTTCTGTAAAATATTGATTAATTGTATATGAAACTTACTTCAATAAAAAAAATAAAAAATAAAAAAAAAATATATAACTGCCGCGATAGCTCAGTGGTTAGAGCACTGGACTCCGACCCTCGTGGTCCCGAGTTCGATTCCCCGGCGCGGCGGTCGTAAAAATGCCTGCGCTCTGACTGTTACCTCGAGCCCGAGAAAACGACATATCGGCTTGAGAAGTCAAAACGCAGGTGTCCTAGGGGAAGTCACCGCCGTGGCACAACCGCGGTTGATCAGGAAGGGCATCCAATCAGGCAAGGGTGACACTGCCATATAACCTCTCAATAGTAAATTGAGAGAGGCCTATGTCCTGCAGTGGAATGAATGGCTGTATAAAAAAAAAAGAAAAAAAAAAAAAAAAAAAAAAAATATATATATATATATATATATATATATATATATATATATAATATATATATATATATATATATATATATATATATATATATATATATATATATATATATATATACATATATCAGTAAATAGAAGAAGCAGTAAAAAAATAATAATAATAATCCTCACCCTACCAGAAAAAGAAAACACACATATCTCTATATATATATATATATATATATATATATATATATATATATATATATATATATACACATACATATATACATATATATATATATATATATATATATATATATATATATATATATATATATATATATATACATATATATATATATACATATATATATATATATATATATATATATATATATATATATATATATATATATATATACATATATCAGTAAATAGAAGAAGCAGTAAAAAAAATAAATAAATAATAATCCTCCCCCCAACAGAAAAAGAAAACCGAAATACGAAATCATTAGAAAATGACAAGCCCACAGGACGCCGAATAGCAGTGCCAAATCGCACGGCTATTACAGTAAAGTCACTAAGGAACAGCTAAACCGCCAGTAAGTACAGTACATCACGAAATCATGTAGGTTTAAATATGGTTACCATAAAGCAACAATTATAATCAGCCACTCGACAGATGAACCACCAGATAAACTATGCATTAACAAGGCGTAATCCAAGCGATGGCACCTCAATCGAGTGCCAAACGCTGACCCCGCGACCCGTAGTCGCAGTCGGCCGAGGGCGCACGCCGGTAGGCTTAGCAACTGCTTAGGAATGCGACAGCTCTCCGAAAAACTGCTAGATACTAAATCACCTTTCTAACTCCTTTCTAACCCCAAACCCCATCCTTATCCATTCCAATATCGTCCTAAATCCTCCTCTCCCACACCACACGCCTCCTTCCTTCAATCACAATTTAGGCACATTATAATGCATGGGCTCATTGCAACGGAGTGTGTATGTGCGCTCAGATAGACACTGTTCAAACGCTGTGCATGAGTATGAGCGTGTATGCATGGAAGTTCGCAGGTGTATGCGTGTTTGTGTGTACGTGTCCCATGTGTGTGTGTGTGTGTATGCAAGAGAAGCAACACACATGCGTGTCTAAACTTATGTACGGACGCGTATGCACGTATGCGGACATGTGCATGCAGGGCATGTGTACATGGTTATGCTGTGTATATACAGTTATTTGTATGCGTATTGTCATGTATAAGAGTCCAAGATATAAGTGTATGTCCCCGTGCTTGTCCTTGAGCGTAGACATATGTATATATACGTAGATATGTATATTTGTGTGTATGTGTATATATTCATATGTGTATGTATATGTATGTACATGTATGTGCATGTATATGTTTGTATATGTGTAGGTGTGTCCGTGTATACATGTGCATATATGTGTGTGTATGTATGCATATATGTAGGTGTGTGTGTGTGTATGCATGCATATATATGTGTATATTATAGGTGTGTGTATGTGTGTATATATATATATGTATGTATGTATGTATATATATATATATATATATATATATATATATATATATATATATATATATATATATATATATATAGGTATGGGTATGTGTATATGCATGTATGTATATGTATGTGTATATGGATGTATATATGTATTTGTGTATATGTGTGTATATATGTGCATGTACAGGCATATACATATATATGTAGGTGAACACTAATGTGTATTCATAAACGTATGTTCGTATACATGTGTGCGTAAGCGTATGTATGTCTATATATTTATTTGTATGTATAGTCATAAGTACGTGTACAAGATATGTGTGCATGTGTGTGTTCGCTCATATGTGGGTACGTATACATATATGTATGTGCATATGATGTGCGCACATGTCTATATATATGTATGCATGTACATGTGTACAGTTGTGTAATTTGTAGGAGTATGTATGCATATCATATGCATAGGAGCATATGTTTAGGTGTATGCTTGCATGTGCGTGTGCACGAAAATTAACATATGCGTAGTACTTAGAACAACTGTGGATGGACCACTATGCCTGGACTAGGTGTACATACGCATAAATGAAATCAGTGTATGAATATAATCACATATATATGAACTTCTGATACTCAGGCCCATGCTCACGGGAGTATACCTTGGTGTAGTGAGCAGGCCCGTGCATTGCTAGACAAGGCCAACCCTGCTTAAAGATTGTCTAAGTCTATGCTCCAACCTGCATCCACAGTGGTGAAGAAATAAAGAGCTTCTATAAAGATGTTCATTTAGCCAGCGAGAGAGTAAAGACCCCTTTCACAACAATTATGGGAGATTTTAATGCTAAAATATGTAAAAAGAAGCAGAAACCATAGTGGGGAATCACGGAATGGGCACTAGGAATGAGAAAGGGCAAATGCTAGTCGATTTTTCGGAGGCTCGATCACTCAATATCATGAATACATTCTTTGAAAAAAGACTAGAGTGGAAGTGGACATGGAAGTCGCCATCTGACATCAAAACGAAATTGACTTCATACTTTCAAATAGGCATGATATAGTAAAAAATGTGGAATTTATTGATAAAGTATGTTGGCAGATGCCAAATTAAATTACACCCCAGAAGGAAGAGGAACAATCTCATACGAAAACCGCAGCCAAATTTAGCAGACTTGAAGACCAGAGCAACAGAATTTAACCTTAACATCCAAAACAGATATTCACTTCTCAGCGACGAGGATCTCAATTTTGGCCAAATTAACAAACATTTCAATGACATGATAAATGAAACTGCATTTGAAGTAGAATGTAGTAAGAATGTCAAGCAAAGCTCCAGCAAGCTCTCGGAAAAAAAACAACTAAACAGCTTATGCAAAAACATCAGGTTATGAAAGTATCGACAAACAGGGACAGAATTATAAATAGCTGAACTAACAAAGACTATATATAAAAAAGAAGAGAGATGTATGGAAATTCAATACTCAAATAATAAATGAAACAGTGATCTCAGGTGCCAGCATGAAAACAGCTAAAAGGAGACTTGGAATAGGGAGAAATCAAATGTATGCAATAAAGAAAGTAAACAGGGAAGTGACATAGAATAAGAATGAAATCATAAGAGCAGTTGAAGACTTTTACAGAGATCCATACAACTCAAATGAACAGCGAACGCGGTAACTAGAGGCGTACCTAACATCACAACAGAAGAAATAAAAAGAACGCTTAAAAGCATGAAGAGAGGGAAAACACCAGGTGAAGACGGAATTAGTATAGACCTTATAATAGATGCAGGAGAAATTACAACAGTGAAACTAGCCAATTCTTTTAAACAAATGCCTTCTTAACAGAAAAATTCCAAAAGCCTAGAAAAATGCAACAATTCTTTTGAAACATAAAAAAGGGGATAAAAAGGATCTAAAAACGTATCGACCCATAAGCCTCCTTTCAGTTACTTACAAACTGTTCACAAAAGTCATCACAACTCTGACATCTCTGACAGTCTGGATTCTAACCCGCCTATAGAACAGGCAGACTTCCACATTGGATTCTATACAACAGACTACACACACACACACATACATCCAAATAAGAGAAAAAATAAACAAATATAGGAAACCCCTGTGTATGGCATTCATTGACTATGAAAAAGCATTTGACTCTGTACAAATACCAGTAGTACTAGAAGCTATTCAAAGACAGGGAGTAGAGGAGGTATATTGAAAAATATTGGAAGATGTACATGAAGATGGGACAGCAACCATCAAGCTCCATACGGAAACCGATAAAATACCTATTTAAAAAGGTGTTAGACAGGGCAATACCATCTATATAGATAGATAGATAGATAGATATATGTATGTGTGTGTGTGTGTGCATGTATGTATATAAAAGACATGAACGTGCCAGATGTCATATACAAAAATATCCCTATCATATTTCTTTAGGAAAAGAAGTGACTCACGGCTTCCTCTGCCCCGTGGTCTGGATGTGCTCGCGGATAGATTACTCCCACGAAAAGACTTTCCTACAAAGGATTTCCTATCCCAGACCGCGCTATAACCTTTGGGTGACCTGGGGAAATTTGGTGAGGGCGACGATGATAGAAGCTGCATCTAGGACAGAGATTTTTAAAAAATTACATATATATATATGTGTGTGTGTGTGCGTGTGTGTGTGTGTGTGTGTGTGTGTGTGTGTGTGTGTGTGTGTGTGTGTGTGTGTGTGTGTGTGTGTGTGTGTGTGTGTGTGTGTGTGTGTGTGTGTCTGCGTTAATCTTTCTCTCTCTATCTATCTATCTATCTATCTATCTCTCTCTCTCTCTCTCTCTCTCTCTCTCTCTCTCTCTCTCTCTCTCTCTCTCTCTATATATATATATATATATATATATATATATATATATATGTTTATATTATTATATAAATATATATTTAAAAAAAAACATATATATATATATATATATATATATATATATATATATATATATATATATATATATACATATACAC